AAGGTGATGGAAAAAGCAGCCACAGTAACAAGGGAAACAAGAGCTAAAATACTAATACTGGGGAAATTCAACCACAGGTAAATAGACTGGATAAATAAGGATCCCCCACGGGGGTGAGGAGACATGGAGAGCAAAACTGGTAGACATGGCAGACAAAAAATTTTTGAAGAATCATGTCACCAACGGCCATACCACGTTGAGAACACCGCTTCTCGTCCGATCAGCGAAGTTAAGCAACGTTGGGTTTGCTTAGTACTTGGATGGGTGACAGCCTGGGAACACCAAATGCTGTTTGCAATAATGTTTTCTCACAAATCGAGCCTGGCCTCGGGCCGGGCTTGGGCAGTAGAACAACTCCCAGAACCCCATCAAGCAGCAGGTATCACAGAACAAACAACAGTAAGAGGAGACCATCTACCAGCATCACTAGACCTGGAGTTTCCCCAAAAATGAAGCAGATGCTGAAAAAATAGAGCATGAGATGGCTCTAGAACACTGCTTCACAAACTGGGAGCCTTTTTGCAATATGAAGGGGCCCATAAGTTGAGGTAGTGTATATGTTATGATACCAGAGGGTTACCTTGAGGTGCTTCCGGGGCTTAGCGTCCCCGCGGCCCGGTCGTCGACCAGGCCTCCTGGTTGCTGGACTGATCAACCAGGCAGTTGGACGCGGCTGCTCGCAGCCTGACGGTAAGGGGGAAAGGGGGAAGGTAGGGGAAGGTAAGGGGGAAAATAACCAGCTAGTGGATATATTGCTCAAAATTTGTAATACAGGTGTAGGGGGCCAGTAATAAAGATGCTATATGAAAAAAGGGATAATGACCGTAAAGAGTTCGAAAGCAGTGTTTTGGAAGCCAGTGATCACTGCATTGCCATGCTTGAATACATAGTGGAGCTGAAGGAATTGGCTACACAAAGAAACCCATTGAAGGAGGAGAGATTACAGACGCAGGGACAACAACAAGATGAGGGACTTTCTGCGGGAAATCCAATGGGAAAGAGAAATGGAAGACAGCAAACAAGATGGAAGTCATTGCTGGGAAATGTGCCACTGCAACGGGGCAGTTCATACTGCTCAAGGAGGAGGTGGCTGAAAAAAAATAAAATTAACCCATGGTTCAATAAGCCAAGCAGGAAAGCTAAAGGTACAAAAAAAAAAAAAAAATGCCAGGAAAAAGTAGAGAAATCAGAAGAGAGAACAATCGAGAGGCACTAAAGAGAACAAGGAATGAATACACCCAAATCAAGAAATAAGCTGAGAGGCAGTTTGAAAATGACATTGGTGCAAAAGCTAATGAACAACCAAAGCAGTTTTATACTCGTATAAGAAGGAAAACAAGTGTGGAACCATGTACTCAGATTGAGGAAACAAGCGGGAGCTCTCACAGAGAATGATAAAGAGGTATGCGAGGAAGTCTATGAAAGATTTCAGGAGATCTTAGCACCAGCGTGGAGACCAAGGTTGCAAAATGAAAGGCCAGAGAAAATACCGGATGGCATTGTAGTCACAGTGGAAAAGGTAGAACAAATCCTGAGGGAACTAGGGAGCTGTTCAGCCGAGCGGACAGCATGCTGGACTTGTGATCCTGTGGTCCCGGGTTCGATCCATGGCACCGGCGAGAAACAATGGGCAGAGTTTCTTTCACCCTATGCCCCTGTTACCTAGCAGTAAAATAGGTACCTGGGTGTTAGTCAGCTGTCACGGGCTGCTTCCTGGGGGTGGAGGCCTGGTCGAGGACCGGGCCACAGGGACACTAAAAAGCCCCGAAATCATCTCAAGATAACCTCCCAGATGTCTGAAAAATGGCAAACGTGGTCCCAATATTCTAAAAGGGGAGAGAAAGGAGGCTCTAAACTACAGACATGCCTAAATATCCAGCCATGTAAAGTGCTGGATAAAGTAATCAGATCGAGAAATGAGGAGCATCTTGAGAGGATCGACTTTGTGACAAAAAATCAAGATGTATTTAGAATTGGACAATCTTGCCTGACAAACTTGATTGAGTTTTATGATAAGGATACTAAGACAGGAAAATGAAGGCTGGATAGACTATTTTCTAGACTGTCAACAGGCATTTGACACTGTTCCCCATGAAAGACTGTTGCATAAGATGGAGAACTAGGCTGGGATAAATGGGAAAAAACACTAAGCTGGGTCAGGGAGTACCTGAAGGAAGGACAGAATTCAGTCCCAGTCAGAGAGGTCTCAAGCTGGAGGAGTGTGACAAGTGAGGTCCTACAAGGTTCTGTCCTAGGGCTGCTGCTGTTTGTAATTTATGTGAAGGACCTGCCCGAGGGAAAGAGCTCAGAGATATCAATGTTTGCAGATGATGCAAAGCTGATGAGGAACATGAAAACAGACAAGGACTACAGAAAGTTACAGGAAGACCTTGACAAACTCCAGGAGTGGTCAAACAAATGGTTACTGGAATTCAATCCCAAGAAGTGTAAGGTAATGAAGATGGGAAATGGAGAGAGGAGACCAGAAGGCCTCTACACCATATGGGAAAGGCAGCTAAAGGAATCAGAAAGATAAAAGTATCTGGGGAGTGAATATAATTCCGACACTCACACCAGAGGCACACACAAATAGGATAACATTGGCACCATATGGTATGCCGACAAATAAAAGAACACTGTTTAGGAACCTGAATCAGGACTCCTTCAATCTATACAACATGTGTTCGACCAATACTGGAATACACATCTTGTGAAATGTAAGGCCAAAACTGAAAAACCAGCGTTGAATGTAATGAAATGCCGTTTTCTGGGCGAGTCCCGGAGGCTCCCTGGAGCTATCCTGGTGGACATGCTAATGTCAGACTTTGGCAACAGTCATGTGTAAGGAGTTCTGTGGGCCTACCGGGGACCACGAGCCAGAACCTGGCCCCCCTCACAGAGGCACGAGGCACAATCCAGTGCATTTTCACCACCTGAACTCAACATGCAACGCCCGTGCTGCCTGCACCTGCATAGTCAGCATAAGACTGGGTAACCGAGTCACAAACAAGAAACAAAAATCGCAGGACTTGGGGTCGAAAGCACCACAGACCCCACAGGTAGCAGACGGAGGCAAAAACAGTGAGTCACCATGAGACAAGGGGGCAGAACAACCTTCAAACTCGCACAAAACGAGGGGGGGGGGACTCCGGGGTCACATCCATTGGACCCACGCACCCCCGTGGGAATTCCCAGGGTCCTGAGACAGAACTCACCCTCAGGAAAGTCCAGGCAGGGTACTGCTTACCGGCGCCCAAGTCTATCAAAAAACCTTCTAAGAACTGAACCCCCGGGACGTGTACACTCACGGGGACCTAGCAGGGGAAACCACCAGAAGAAGGAAGGGTACTCAGTACACAGGAGGCAAGAACCAAGGCAGATCCCCCACCAGGAAGACAAACAAAAAGAAAAAGAAAACCCTGCAAGAGGACAGCGTACCCAGGAAGAACAGAGCTGGCCGTTATGATTGGTGAAATCAAGCTGCGCAGTACCAGTGCAAAGTTTGCTTGTACCAGTTTGCCCCTACCAGTGTAAACTGCCCCAACCCTAAGGCGAACAAGGGAGACAGAACACCCTAGCACACAAAGGGAGGCCGAAAACCAAGCAGGAAACGGCCTAGCAGAGGCAGAACCCAAGGAACTTGTGGAAGGTGGCCCCAAGGGCAGTACTTACAGGGCACCTAGGGAAGGAAACCCTAGGCGCATGCAGCCCGAGTAGTTGAGAATCACTCCTGGCTCACACACCTAGAGGACAGTCACCACACAATAGGCACAGTGCTGAAACAACCACTGGAGTCAGAGCACACAACCGTTGCCTATAGCATCAGCCTCAGAACTAGGGTGTGGATAGCCGGCGCAAGGGTCTGGAGCTCCCCCTTCCCCCTCCCGGGGAGGGTGGGGGGTGCTGCGCAGACGGCGGTGCAGCAACGTGTGACGTCATACGCGTTTGCTCATTTCTGTTTGGGGAGTTCTATTCACTTGTTCGGCCTTTTGTAGTAATTTTCACCAGAATAGAGGTTTGTTTTGGGACGCCTACCTTTCTGGGTGCCTAACCCGGTCGAGGCCAGTCATAGAATGCTTCCAACCACACGGGGGTTTCTATAGGCCATTGCTCCCCCATGCCTCTCTGAGGGGGCCAGGTTCTGTCTCGTGGTCCCCGGTAGGCTCACAGAACTCCATACACATGACTAAAAAAGTCATGCCAAAGTCTGACATTAGCATATCAGCCTGGATAGCTCCGGGGAGCTGACGGGGCTCCCCTCAGAAATGCACAAAGGTTTCCAACAAAATTGGTGTCACAGCTAAGAGGTCTAAGCTACAAACCTAAGCTAATGGAACTAAATCTCTCAACCCTAGAGGATAGAAGGAACAGTTCCATGGAACATTATGAATGTTCTGCTGTATACATATTGTAAAGGACACAAATATGCATCATATATGACAAAAAACAAATAAAACCGCATTGGAAATACATAGAACAAATAATTGAAAATAAATTCGTGACAACTCGTATTGCTTGAATGGTGCGCACGACCGCCTCTGGGAGCTTCATGCACGGGCGACCAACCCGTGATGCTCCTTCTTCATGTCCCACAGCCAAAGTTAGTGAATTATTTAGTTTTTTTTTTTTTTTTTACTTGTTACATTACATGTTCAGGGAAGGGAATTTATAATTTTACAATGATCAAAAGAAATTTTGCAAACACCTGATTTTATGCGCACAGGGGGAATGTCACAATAAACTCGCCGCATTACAGTGGTTAAACTATAAACTATATAACACTATATCAGTTACTGTCCCTATAACATAACTCATTAATACACATAATCAATCCTAACTCCTCTCATTTTCATTCATGCCACCTCTTCTAATATTTACTCCATTTCACTCTTCATTCTCCCCTTTTACTCGGCTTCCTCTCATACACATCAAACACTCTTCTTCTTCCTCGTCTATTCAAGTACGTTACTCTCCACATAATGGGGATTAACAATTCTTACGTAATATTCTTCCGACGTGAGGAATTCATCGGGCAACCAGCTGATTCCCACTTGATAGATGGCCAGGTAGAGAAGTCCTGATCCGCCACGGAGGAGGCCCGGAACCAAGCACGGCGGCAGTTCACATCCCACTAACGTTCCCTGTGTAAACAATAAATATTTAGTAAATGGGCATCCTGTATGTCAAAAGAAATAGCATAATTTTCCCTTATCTCAATCTTAATGACTATCAGACATATAAGGGAGATCTTTTATTTATGAAAGTGGAGGAAACACAACACGTTGACCAAACCACACGTCAGAAAATGAAGAAACAACGACGTTTTGGTCTGGTCTGGATTATCATCACACGACTTGATAATGGTCCAGGACAGACCGAAACATCGCCGTTTCTTCATTTTCTGATGTGTGGTTTGATTTATTTGAATTATCATGTCATGTTACTTCAGTCTTCAGTCATGTTACTGTGATTCATCATCTGCAAACACAACATTATCATGTGTTACAGTATATCTATGACAGTGGAACAAACACATCATCACTATTTGTGATGACACAATCAGAACATCTTTGGACCTCTAGAACTGGGAAACCCTAAAATATCTGTATTTCATACTCCTTCACAAAAAATCACCTCACCCTTTTCCTTGATTCCTCGCTACCCAATTTTGAATATTTCTGCCACAGCAATGATCGCACTAATGATATAGTTAGTTGACTTCATTTATTATGCACCTCATACCCATCCTGTGGGAGGGGTAGTGGAAAGGGCTACAGAGGCACATAATGGGCTCAGGGACTGAACCCCACAATTCATTCAGCTAAGTTACAGTCTTGATGAGTTAGTTACAAAATGATTTTGGACAAGTGCATCATGTAAACTTACAGGTAATACTTTACTTAGACTTTAATGCAAGAGTTTAACGCAACATAGGGATAGGTTATCTTGAGGTTATCTTCAGGTTATCTTGAGGTTATCTTGAGGTTATCTTGAGATGATTTCGGGGCTTTTTTAGTGTCCCCGCGGCCCGGTCCTCGACCAGGCCTCCACCCCCAGGAAGCAGCCCGTGACAGCTGACTAACACCCAGGTACCTATTTTACTGCTAGGTAACAGGTGGTAATAACACAGGGATAGGTCGTAATAACATTGGGATAGGTCGTAATAACATTGGGATAGGTGGTAATAACATTGGGATAAGTGGTAATAACATTGGGATAGGTTGTAATAACACAGGGATAGGTTGTAATAACATTGGAATAGGTTGTAATAACACAGGGATAGGTCATAATAACATTGGGATAGGTTGTAATAACATTGGGATAGGTTGTAATAACACAGGGATAGGTCATAACATTGGGATAGGTTGTAATAACAGGGATAAGTTGTAATAACATTGGGATAGGTTGTAATAACACAGGGATAGGTTGTAATAACATTGGGATAGGTTGTAATAACACAGGGATAGGTTGTAATAACATTGGGATAGGTTGTAATAACACAGGGATAGGTAGTAATAACATTGGGATAGGTTGTAATAACATTGGGATAGGTTGTAATAACATTGGGATAAGTTGTAATAACACAGGGATAGGTTGTAATAACATTGGGATAGGTCGTAATAACACGGGGATAGGTCGTAATAACACAGGGATAGGTCGTAATAACATTGGGATAGGTTGTAATAACACAGGGATAGGTCGTAATAACACAGGGATAGGTCGTAATAACATTGAGATAGGTCGTAATAACACAGGGATAGGTCGTAATAACATTGAGATAGGTCGTAATAACACAGGGATAGGTCGTAATAACACGGGGATAGGTCGTAATAACACAGGGATAGGTCGTAATAACATTGGGATAGGTCGTAATAACACAGGGATAGGTCGTAATAACACAGGGATAGGTCGTAATAACATTGAGATAGGTCGTAATAACATAGGGATAGGTCGTAATAACACAGGGATAGGTCGTAATAACATTGGGATAGGTCGTAATAACATAGGGATAGGTCGTAATAACACAGGGATAGGTTGTAACAACACAGGGATAGGTCGTAATAACACAGGGATAGGTCGTAATAACATTGGGATAGGTCGTAATAACATAGGGATAGGTCGTAATAACACAGGGATAGGTCGTAACAACACAGGGATAGGTCGTAATAACACAGGGATAGGTTGTAATAACATAGGGATAGGTCGTAATAACACAGGGATAGGTCATAATAACACAGGGATAGGTCGTAATAACATAGGGATAGGTCGTAATAACATTGGGATAGGTCGTAATAACACAGGGATAGGTCGTAATAAAATAGGGATAGGTCGTAATAACATTGGGATAGGTCGTAATAACATAGGGATAGGTCATAATAACATTGGATAGGAGGTAATAACACAAGGATAGGTCGTAATAACACAGGGATAGGTTACCTTGAGGTGTTTCCGGGGCTTAGCGTCCCCGCGGCCCGGTCGTCGACCAGGCCTCCTGGTTGCCGGACTGATCAACCAGGCTGTTGGACGCGACTGCTCGCAGCCTGACGTATGAGTCACAGCCTGGTTGATCAGGTATCCTTTGGAGGTGCTTATCCAGTTCTCTCTTGAACACTGTGAGGGGTCGGCCAGTTATGTCCCTTATGTGTAGTGGAAGCGTGTTGAACAGTCTCGGACCTCTGATGTTGATAGTTCTCTCTTGAACACTGTGAGGGGTCGGCCAGTTATGCCCCTTATGTGTAGTGGAAGCGTGTTGAACAGTCTCGGACCTCTGATGTTGATAGAGTTCTCTCTCAGAGTACCAGTTGCACCTCTGTTTTTCAACAGGGGTATTCTGCACATCCTGCCATGTCTTCTGGTCTCATGTGATGTTATTTCTGTGTGCAGGTTTGGGACCAGCCCCTCTAATCTTTTCCACGTGTAAATTATTATGTACCTCTCCCACCTGCGCTCAAGGGAGTACAGTTTTAGGCTCTTTAGTCGGTCCCAATAGTTTAGATGTTTTACTGAGTGGATTCTAGCAGTAAAGGATCTCTGCACGCTCTCCAGGTCAGCAATTTCTCCAGCTTTGAAAGGTGCTGTCATTGTGCAGCAGTACTCCACTCTAGAGAGCACAAGCGTTTTGAAAAGTATCATCATCGGTATAGCATCTCTAGTGTGAAAAGTTCTTGTTATCCAACCTGTCATTTTTCTTGCAGTTGTGACGGCTACTTTATTGTGTTCTTTAAAGGTAAGGTCTTCCGACATGAGTACACCCAGATCCTTTACATTGCCTTTACGTTCTATGTTATGATTTGCCTGAGTTTTGTACGTGGTTTCAGTTTTTATATTTTCATTTTTTCCATAGCGCATGAGCTGGAACTTATCTTCATTAAACACCATATTATTTTCTGTAGCCCATAGAAAAACCTGATCTACATCTGACTGGAGGTTTGCCGTGTCCTCTATGTTGCCTACTCTCATGAAGATCCTAGTGTCATCTGCAAAGGATGATACAGTGCTATAGGTTGTATTCTTGTCTATGTCCGATATGAGGATGAGAAAAAGTACTGGAGCAAGCACAGTACCCTGGGGGACTGAGCTCTTCACGGTTGATGGGCTGGATTTTATTTTGTTGACTATTACACATTGGGTTCTGTTGGTCAGGAAATTGTAGATCCATCTGCCTATTATTCCGGTAATTCCTTTTGAACGCATTTTATGTGCAATAACACCATGGTCACATTTATCAAAAACTTTTGCGAAATCTGTGTAAATTACATCCGCGTTATATTTGTCTTCCATAGCATCTAATGCCATATCATAGTGGTCCAGCAACTGCGACAGGCAAGAGCGCCCTGTTCTGAAACCATGTTGTTCAGGGTTATGGAGTTGCTGTGATTCCATGTATTTTGTGATCTTACTTCTTAGCACTCTCTCAAAAATTTTTATGATGTGCGATGTTAGTGCTATCGGTCTGTAATTTTTTGCCTCTGCCTTATTTCCTCCTTTATGAAGTGGTGCTATCTCTGCTGTTTTTAGTATATCAGGAATAACGCCAGTATCTAAGCTTTGTCTCCACAGAATGCGGAGGGCCTGCGATAGTGTTTTTTTACAGTTCTTTATGAATATGGAGTTCCAAGAATCCGGGCCTGGTGCAGAGTGCATAGGCATTCTGTTTATGGCTTCTTCAAAATCCAGTGGGGATAGGGTGACGTCTGATATATGATTTGATGTTGGTATCGTATCCATGAAAAATTCATTTGGGTTATCAATCTTTAGTGTGTTTAATGGCTCGCTGAAAACAGAGTCGTACTGCGTCCTCAGTAGCTCGCTCATTTCTTTGTTGTCATCGGTGAAAGTTCCATCTCCCTTTCGCAGGGGCCCGATACTAGATGTGGTTTTTGATCTTGATTTTGCATAGGAGAAAAAATATTTCGGATTTCTGTCTATTTCACTGATGGCCTTTTGCTCTCTTTGCCTCTCCTGGGTTTTGTATGATTCTTGTAGCTTCCGTTCAATTGTTTCTATTTCTCTACCTAACCTTCTTCGCCGTTCTTGAGATAGGGTGCGACTCTCAAGTTGTTCCACGATTCGTTTTCTTCGCCTATATAGGGAACGACGTTCCCGTTCCAATCTGCATCTCTTCCTCTTTTTTCTTAGAGGTATGCGGTTTTAACATATTTCTAGTGCTACTGAGCTTATTTTTTCCAAGCACTGGTTCAGGTTTGCATTTTCTAGCTGTTCTTCCCAGTTTATTTCTGTGAAGTCCTGGTTTATTTGCTCCCAGTTTATCTCTTTATTATTGAAGTTGAATTTGCTGAAATCTCCTCCACCGGGAATCTGGACTGGTTTTGAAGGTCTACTCCCCATGGTTGTCATAACTTCAATTAAGTTGTGATCTGAGTAACAGGTATTTGAAATCATTATGTTCCTGATCAATTCATCCTTATTAGTGAAAATGAGGTCCAGCGTGTTCTCCTTCCTAGTTGGTTCTACTATTTGCTGGTTTAAGGCAAACCTGTCGCACATCCGTAGCAGGTCATTTGCATGTGCCTGTTCATTTAGGCTACTTCCTGGTATTCTTTCTGATATTACTGTATTAGCCAGGTGCTTCCATTTCAGGTGCCGTAGGTTGAAGTCCGCCAAGCAGGATGATGTTCGG